CCTGGGCAAACCACAGCCCAGATGGGTCAAACTCTCTTCCTTGAGCTGAGCAGAGGAGTGATGTTTCCCGTTTCTGGAGCCCACTATTAGTCAGGAGTCCTCAAAACAGATCTGGGGAGAGAGGCGGAAGCCTGCGGAGATCACGGAGACAGGAGCTGGAGACGGTTAGTGCTCCCGGGGCCCACAGGATAAAGTCCAAGTCCCTTTGCCTGGCCCTCCGAACTGCCTAGTTCCTGCCTCGGAGGCCCTTGGCCACAGTCAGGCTGGTTTCCCCATAACATCCCTGTTCACGACGGGCCCCTTCCCACCGCCACAGCTGCTGTACTGCACCCCTGCTTAAATCATCTCCCCCTTCCTGTGCACCCAAATCCCAAACTGCTTCTCCCTGGGGCCTTCCCTGCACCCCAGCCCCGAAGGCCTGTCTGTCCCCTCCCATCTCCAGTCTCCATGCTCTTTGTCACAGCAGGAGACAGGGGTGAGACGGGGCTCCTGGAGGACCTGGGCTTGAGAGCCTGCTCTCCCCATTACTCCCTGCATAACACTCCCTTTTGGGGGCCTCAGTTTCCCCCTCTGTGAAATAGGGGCAGTATAACTCCTGCCTCAGGCTGTTGTGGGAATTAGAGGATGCAGTGGATGTGACAGTGCAGAGTAGGCCATGTAGGGTTGTGCATGTGGCAGCAGATGACATTGCAGTGGTTTTTACTGTTCTCATGAGGACAAGGAGCCCCAGGCGAGGGACTCTCAAGACTCTGCCTGTCCAAAGAACGAGCCTGGCCCTCCCTGAAGAGGCACGCTAGAAGTTAGCAGTCTCTCCCCTCCTCCTACCGCCTTTCCTGGGCAGCACTCCCCTCCTTGTCCCCCTCCCCCAGGTACCCAGGATGCCCCCAGCATGCTGGGCTGTGCCCCCACACCACCTCCCAGAGCTCGGCTGGGTGGGGAAAGGAGCAAGGAGATTCTCTCATTCTCTGTAAGGCAGCCTGTCCGAAAGGAATATTCTGTGAGCCACGTATGTAATTCTAAACCTTCCCGTAGCCACGTTCAAAAGTAAAAGAAATTAATTTTAATAATATACTTTAACCCACTCTATCCAAAATATTCTCATTTTAGTATATCGTAAACATAAAGAACTAACAATGGGGTATTTTCCAGTCTTTTTTTTTCATACCAAATCTTTGAAATGCAACGTGTATTTTATCCTTTTGGCACATCCCATTCTACTGGCCCTACTTCCAGTGCTCAGTGGCCGCGTGTGGCTGGTGGCTGCTGCATCCCACAGCCCAGCTCTAAGGTCTAAACGAGCGATAGACACCCGGCGCCTCACCCAGAGAAATTAGTGCAGTGGTGGAATTTCAGGCCCCCTGCACGTCATACCGCAAAGGTGCCTCCTCATCCTGCCGGTCCCACACCAGGGCCTCTCGCTCACAGGGTTTAGTTGATAAAGCGTGAGTTTTCCCCTCGGGCAGGCTGGAACTCTGATCCTGGTCCTGCCACTTTCTAGTTGTGGATGTCAAGCAAGTTCCCTACCCTCACAGCTTGTTTGCTCGTGTGCGGAGTGTAAGTCCCCTGCCTTTGCAGGTCTCAGCGAGGATGGAGCAGGAGCACGCATGCGGAGCCAGCAGCCCACATAGCAGTGACCTGGCGTTCCTGGAATCTCCGAGCCGCGAGGCGCCCGGTGCTCAGTGTGGCCCAGTTGCCCACTCTGACCCAGCAGCAGTCTAAGAGCTTGTTTGCAGCGCGATAGCATCTCCTGTTGATGTTCTCATTTTCCTTCCAGGAGCCTGGCGCTGGCTGCACCCACTGCCTGTCGGAGCCATCTCTTGCACTCATCTGTTCATAGATATTTATCAAATACCTACTATTTTGCCCCAGGCCCCCTGCTAGGCACCAAAGTTTCGACAGAGAACAAGATAAATATGATCTCTGCTCTTACAGAGCTCAGTGACCAGCAGAGGATAGAGACACTGGACAAAGCATGACTCAGACCTAAATGTGTATAAGATAGATAGTTCCTTATTTTCTCTAAAACTCAACTTAACTTCTACTCAGAATGCCTGTCCTGCTGGGTCAGCAAGACATTCAACTTCAGCCTCTCTCAGGGCTCCCTCACCAAGGGGAAGCAAAGGTCCTGCAGTCTTACAGGGTGCCAAAATACTAGGGACATCCCTCCCCCACCCAACAGGCATCAGCCTCAATCCATTCTGGCCCATGTGGTGTCCCTTAACTTGCTCGGAGCAGAGGAGCTTTGTGTGTCTGGGAACATGGGAGCACGGCCGCCCTAGGTCAGCCTGCTGCCTGCCCCCCGGGGGGGACTGCTTCCTTGGGCACTGTCTCAGAGGCTGTGTGGCTCCTCTTGGAATCCCCAGGGCACTCAGTCCCCGTTCTCTTCCCCTCGTTCTCAGAGGCCTCCCTCTCTCCTCACAACCTCCACCCCCAATATCCAGCATGATCTTCTCAGTGGACTCAGGCTTTGGAAACAAAAGCCAGGAAGGAAAACATTACAGCCGATGACTGCTTTCTGCCCTGCCACAACCCTCCCCTGAGGCCAGGAAACCCAGAGCCCACTACCTGCTGGAATAAGAGAAGAGAGGAGAAAGGGAAAGACCTGGTGGTGTAGTGGTTAAGTTTATGTGCTCTGCTTTGGCGGTCTGGGGTTCGCAGATTTGGGTCCCGGGTGCAGACCTACACACTGCTCATCAAGCCATGCTGTGGCAGTGTCCCACATGTAAAATAGAGGAAGATTGGCACTGATGTTAGCTAAGGGACAATCTTCCTCAAGCAGAAAGAGGAAGATTGGCAACACAGTTTAGCTCAGGGCCACTCTTCCTCACCAAAAAAAAAAAAAAAATAATAATAATATTTGAATGAATTTCCCTCCTAGGGCAAGGCCAGCACTGAGCCAGCCAGCACCGGAGAGTGAACTGGAGGAAGCTTGGAACAGGGCACCCCTGGGGTGGGTGTGGGCGTGAAGGTTCTCAAAGGTGGGAAAATCCAGTATTTGACTTATGAGGCTCCCTAAAAAAAAGGAATCAGATAGGAGAGGAAAGAGAAGGTGTGAGACATTGACCAGAGGGTGAGGGGCCCATAGGGACCTCTCAGAGGCTCCACAGGCAGAGAAGAGGCAGAAGCAGAGGACCGCGGATGAGCTCTCGAGCCCAACCCACCCTCCCCCATGGCATACAGCACCCCAGAACCCAGGGGAGGCCAGCCCCTGCTTGCATGCTCCTAGTTTGGGGGAACTCACTCCCTCCTAGGGCAGCCTTGGCCAAACTGCTGGTTACATTGGGCTTCAGTCTTCCTCCACGGAACTTGTTGCTTCTAATCCTGGTCTTAGGCTGCATAGAAAAATGTAGTAAAATCAGACCCCACTCGATCACTTAAATTCAAATGACCCTATGCCAGTAGCAACTTGTCCAAGACTTAGTTCCTCATCTAAAAAATGTGCACAGTAATAGTACCTGCCTGAAAGCACTGTGGTATTAGAGCAAGGCAGGTAGAATACCCAGCACTTAGGGGCCGTGGTCCCCGTCCCTCAGGGTGAGCCAGCTAAGTGCACACAGGCTCTGGAGTCAAGCTATCTAGGTTCAAACCCTAGCCGGACCTCTTACCAGTCATGTGACTGGGCAAGCCACTTCATCTCCCTGGGTCTCAGGCGGTTTTTTTTTTTGAGGAAGATTAGCCCTGAGCTAACATCTGCTGCCCATCCTCTTTTTGCTGAGGAAGACTGGCCCTGAGCTAACATCCGTGCCCATCTTCCTCCACTTTAGTTGTGGGACGCCTACCTCAGCATGGCTTGCCAAGTGGTGCCATTTCTGCACCCGGGATCCAAACCGGCGAACCTCAGGCCGCCAAAGTGGAACGTGCGAACTTAACCACTGCGCCAGCAGGCCAGCCCCTGGGTCTCAGTTTTATCCCCTGAAAAACAGGGATTATAATGGCATCTACTTGAGAAAGTCACTGGGAGGTCGAGTTAGCGGATTAGTCATTAGAACGGCGCTGGGCTGGTAGTAAGTACTTAGTAACCAATAACCATTATTATCATGATTTCCTTCCTTCTCTCTGACAATCAGAAGACTGTGATTGTGCCCCCCCCCAAGTCTTCTCTTTCCCGAGGTAAAAGGCCTTTCCTTCAGGAGTCGCACGTCGGCCTTCCTCACCCCGATGGGGGGACACACTCCAGAATGTCCGTGAGCTTCCTCCTCATGTGGTCGCAGAGCTGAGCTCCTCTCTGGGTGTGGCCTGACTTATCTGAAAGGAGGAGGGGTCTGTCGCCTTGGCCACCCCAGTTCCCTTCCTGTCATAGCAGACGGCACAGAACAAGAGTGGTCTGGAGGCCCACAGCACCCCAACCTCTAGGAAGGCCCAGCTCACTGAAGGCTCCTGCTCATGGCCGCCCCCACGTGATGACGGCCATGAGTGATTATAACTGAAGGTAGCAGTGTGGTGATGACCTCGGATAGAGATGGGGGATGCTGATGGTGGTGAAGACAGTGATAGAGATAACGAGGATGTTAGAGACAGTGATAATGGTTTTGGTGATTCTGATAACCGTGTTGTTTCTGGTGATCCTGAAGGGTCAGGTGTCACAGACGGTGATTACGATTGTGCTGGTGGTGGGTGACCATGACAGAGACAATGATGATAGTAAGGATATCAGTCATTTATTCACGATGATATTGGTGATGTGAGTGATGATATTTAAGGTGATGGGGATAATGATGATGGCAGCTATGGTGGTAATTTTCATGGTAATGTTGGTGATTATTATGATGTTAATGATGGTGATACAAAGTTTAACCACTGGAATTTCATCCATCCTTTCAAACCACTTGTTGAGTACCTATAGGGCCAAGAACAAATGAAACACTGCTGGCCCCTGTTCCTCCTGATGAAATGACAGACCCCCACCCTCTCCTCTCCCAGAGCTCCCCTCCCAGCCCACAGCATCTCCGAGCAGAATGTCTGGCACCCAGCTGACTGTCCTTGGTTGTGTGTCTTCCCAGGGTGAGGATTCCTCCTCTGAGCAGAGCACTGAGGCGTCCCCGGAAAAGAAGGCTGGCCTAGCCCAGATTGCACCAAACCTGACTGCGGTCCAGTTCATCAAAGGTAAGTGAGCTGCGGCCAGGCTATAGGGACATGGGGCCAGGAGGGCATTGGAAGCTGCACAGGATCCAGCCCCTTCCTGCCTTTCTTGATTCATCATCCCCACCTACAGGCCCCTCATGGGCACCATACGCTCCTTGTAAGTCTTCATTCATATGATCTCCTCCACCTGGCGCACCATTTTTTTTTTTTTTGAGGAAGACTTAGCCCTGAGCTAACATCTGCTGCCAATCCTTCTCTTTTTGCTGAGGAAGACTGGCTCTGAGCTAACATCCATGCCCATCTCCCTCTACTTTATATGTGGGATGCCTACCACAGCATGGTTTGACAAGCGGTGCCATGTTCGCACCTGGGATCCGAACCGGCGAACCCGGGGCCACCGAAGCTGAACATGCGCACTTAACCACCTCACCACTGGGCCGGCCCCTGGCACACCATTTTTTATTGCTATCTATGAAAATCTTTCTTGTCCCTCTAGGCCAAGTTCAAGGGCCACTTCTCTCCTTCCTCAGAAGGCCTGGCTCTCCCTCCTCTCAGCTCTTCGAACCCTCAGGGCTTCTATGTTGATTCAGACCTGTGCCATGTTCTTGTCCAGCCCTTCCCTCAAGCAGAGGGCTCCTGAAGGCTGGCTCACCCGAGACCCTACTTCTTCCCCGATCCAGCTCCGGGCCTGCGAGCAGAGGCTCTCAGTAAATATTTACTAAATTACCAGGCGGTTGCCTGGGTGGAGGGAACTCTGGGCTGAAGTCCAGAAACCCAGGCTTTTGTCCTGAGTCCTTGCTCCTCTCTGGGCCTCAATTTCCCCGTCTGTACAGTGAGTAGACTCAATGAGCTAAGATCCTTGTCTCTCTGATCCGGAGACTATGAACTCAGTCGACCAGTAACCAGGGTCTATGTTGTGACCAGACTGTCCTTTCTGAAGATTCAGGTCCCATGAACATTGATTGAGGGCCTACTGTGTGCACAGGCGCTTGTAGAGCCTGGACAACAAGTCAGAGACCTGGGTGTGAATCCTGCCCCCGACATGACCAGCGTACAATCTTTTAGAAGTTATTTTCCTTCCTTGACCTGAGATTCCTCCTCTGAAAGACTAGGTCAGGGACCCTCGCTCCACCTCGCCAGAACTATTAGGAGAGTCAGATAGGGTGATGAGTGGAGAACCCTTTGTATGCTATCAAACACTGTACTGATATAAGGTACCATTTCTATTTCAATCGCTCCTGCCTTCCTGTTATCATTCTGACCATGTCCCGGGACAGTAAATTGAGCTGCCTGTGGTTTAGGAGGGTGATAGCCCCTCTAACCTTTCTCCCCCTGCACTGAGGACTTTTACAACAAGAAGTTAATTAGGTCCAATTCTTGGGAAGAGTTTCCTAAGACTTGATGCTGGGACACCAGTCTCTAGAGCCTGGTTCTCCAGCATCCTCAGGGAAAGGGGGGCCTGGACCCCATGGGGCTGGGCCTAGAGGCAGGGGCCTGGACTCCCTAACCTCAGGGGCCCCCAGCTGCTGGAAAGCCCCAGCACACTGCTCCATGGAGGAGCTTATTAATCACTGCTTTGGCTCCTGCCCAAAGGGAAGCTGGGGCCAGTTGCTGAATTGGATCCTGGAGCTGGAGTCCTGGGCCAGACTGTGTCAGTTTCTATATGAGCCTAGAAGAGACCAAGGCAGGGCTGGCCACAGGCCCTGTGGCTGGTCAGCCAACTTGGCTTCTGGGCTTTCTGCTGAGCACCAGAGGGACTAGCCTGCCCCTGAGGCTTGGCCTTGACCACTTGGGACCATGGGGGAGCAAGAGGGAGGAGGAGCCATGGGGCTTCAGCTGGAGGAGCCCTAAACTCTTAGGAGAAGACATCCCTGAGCTAAGGAAGGCCCCTGTCTGAGGGGGGAGACATAGCCCCTGAGCAGGGAGAGGCCCTGTTTGATGGGAGAGACCAGACTCTGTGCCGGGGGGAAGTCCCTGTCTGATGGAGGATAATAGTCTCTGAATGGAGGGAGAACCTGCCTTGTCTCATGGAGGAGACCTGGCCCCTGGGCTGCAGGAGGCCCCTGTCTGATGGGGGAGATATTGTCTTTGACTTAAGGGAGGTCCCTGTCACATGGAAGAAACATAGTCCCCGAACTGAGGGAGGACCTGTCCTATTGGAGGGAGGAGACCTGGCCTCTGAGCTGCACGAGGCCCCTGTCTGAGAAGGGAGACATAGTCTCTGAGTGGAGAGAGGCCTCAGCTTGTCTGATGGGGGAGACGTTGTGCGAAGCTAAGGGCAGCCCCTGTCTGATGGAGAAGACCTGCCTCTGAGCTAGAGACACGCCCTGGAGTTCCTGGTCAGTGATCCCTATCGAAGTGAAAGGCTTAACCCTGCCCTCCAGGAATTTTCCACCTGTTCTGGACACAGGCTGCAGACGCAGAAGAGGGAGAAAGGACAGAGGACGGGTACACATGCACTGCAGTGATGGGCACAGGAGAGAGGGTGCCCTCTGGAGTCAGGCAGCCAGAGGACCGGGATGCGGGGTGGGCCACACAGGGGGAATGGCCTTTACTAGGAGTCAGGAAACCCCTGGCAACTCCTGGCCTTGCCTTGGCCTCCGTGAATGAACTTGGGTGAGTCGCTGCCCCTCTTGGGACCCCACCTGTCCAATGAGGGCACCTGTACAGCTTGGGCCAAGGCCAGGCCAATCCTGGCCGGGGCAGCGCACGGAGGGAGGGAAGCTGGAGCAGCTACCTGGGGTGAAGGCCAGTGTCACACCTACCCACCCCCAATGCTGGCTGGATGCACTGCGTGTGTGGTAGGGGACTAGGGACAGGAGGCAGGCCTGGGACGTGAAGGAGGGGGAATTCCATAGCCCCGGCTCCCCCCACCCTGCCTGGATTATTTATCTTTATTTTCTGGCTTCCAAGGAAATAGCTTCTGGCCTGGCCCAGGGGGAGAGGGAACCAGCTGGCTTGGCTCTAGCCATGCTCTAGGGACACAGAGAAATCTCCCATGACAGAGGCCCTGGTCCTGCTTCTGCAGGAACAGAAGGGACCCCGCAGTTGGCCAGGAGGAGCCAACTCTCCCCACCAGCCCAGCCCGGCAGTGGTTTGCTCCTCTGAGCCTCCTCTTAGAAAGGCCTTTCCTCCCCTCTCCCCCACACCTTCTGCCTCACTGCCATCTTGCCTCCCACAGGCGGAAACATGTGTCTCTCTCTTTTGTCATTAGAGGAGAGAGCGCCACTCATGTCAGCACAGAAAGCATTCTTGGCCGTCACCTTGGCCACCCCTACTGAGGACGACCCTGAAGCCCAGAGCTCAGGACTGGCCCAATGTCACGTGCCCTTTGGTTTAGCAGACTTGCAGTGAGGGACCCCTGCCCACAGGCACCGGTTTAGGGGGCTGGCAGAGATTGGTGATCAAAGCCAGAACCCCAGAGCCGTCGCTTCCCTTCTGGTCTCGACACTTTTGCTCCTGCTCTGCCCTCCACCAGGAATTCCCTCTCCTCCCCACCCCTCCCTCAGGATCCTCCCGTTCTTCAGGCCCTGCCTCTGTCCGACCCCCAGGAAGCTGCCCAGCACCAAGCCTGCCCAGGTCTCACCATCTCCGGAGGCCTTAGATTCTGCCCCAACATTTGGGTATCTGATCATATATGAGTCTGTGTCTCCCTTCCTTCCTTCCTTCCTTCCTTCATTCCATAAATATTTAGTGAGTGCCTCCCATGCTCTGGGCTCTGGCGATTCAGCAATTAACACAACAGACAAACATCCCCGCTCCGAATGAAGCTCACCTTCGGGCAGGGTGACAATAAAATGGCTAAATGAGTAAGATGTGTAGTATTTAAGTAAAGTGCTCTGGAGAAACATAGACTAGAGATGAGGAGAGCAGGGGAGGGGACACTGTCCCATGTAGGGGACACAGAGGGAGGAGCAAGGCCTCGGTCAGCTTGGAAAGAGCTATAGCAGGACGGCAGGAGAGGGCTGAATGAAAAGAACAAAACGAGGTGAATAAGCAGAACAGAAGAAATGACATGAGATGGGATGGGATGAATGAAATAGAATCAAATCTGAAGTATGGAACAGAAGTTTATGGAATCAAGTTTTCAATAGAATTGAATGGAAAGAAACACAGTTGAATAAAATGCTATCTAACTCAATGGAATGGAAGGAAACAGAATTTCAAAAACGGAATGGAATTAAGTGGAAAGGAGTCAAATGTAATGAGGAGACTGAATGCAATAGAATTAAATGGAATGAGATGGGATGGAAGGGATGGAACAGTTTAGCCTGTTTAGGGCGGGATGGGACAAACTAATGCCATGGCTGCCCTGCCCACTCCGACCTTCTCCTCACTCACCCCAACAGTCTTCCCCAGGGTGCTGCTGCGGACCCTGCGCCACCCCATCTTCCTGTTGGTGGTCCTGTCCCAGGTGTGCACATCGTCCATGGTGGCGGGCATGGCCACCTTCCTGCCCAAGTTCTTGGAGCGCCAGTTTTCCGTCACAGCATCCTTTGCCAACCTGCTCATAGGCTGTGTCACCATCCCCTTGGCCATCATGGGCATCGTGATGGGGGGCTTCCTGGTCAAGCGCCTCCGCCTGGGCCCCATGCGCTGCAGCATCCTTTGCCTACTGGGGATGCTGTTCTGCCTCCTTCTCAGCCTGCCCCTCTTCTTCATGGGCTGCTCCACCCACCACATCGCAGGCATCATCCACCAGCCTGGGTAAGTGTATGCAAGAGCGCGTGAGCATGAGCATGGGGGGATGGAGGGGTGGGACAGGGCAAGGGGTGGCCCAGACAAGGCCAGGTCAATGGGGGCACCCACCTGTCTCAAATCTTACCTCCCCAAGAGCCCTATCTCCTTCCATCTCACTTGGCTCAGTCGTGACACTGGGACTTCTCTCTCCAGTGAAGGTGTCAGGCCACTGGAAGGGGCAGGGATGGAACCTCACGGACGGGGCAGCTCAGCCCTGGGGAGGGGCGGAGGCTGAGGCAGGGCAAAGCCACTTGTGGGGATGGCATCTGCAAAGTGACCAAGCCCTGTGTGCCCAGCAGAGGTGGCGCTGAGGCCTCACCATAGGAACAGGACCCAGCTCAGCCTGAGGACACTTTGCTCCCAGGCAGAGGAAAGCCCTGCCCAGGAGGGAGCGTGCTCTCCATCCCTGGGGGTGTGGGGGGGTGGGTGAGAGAGGGGATAACCAGGGCTGGCAAGCCCCTAACAGGGACACTACAGAGGGGACTGATGCCTTGGGAAGGGATTGGCCTGGAGACGTTGAGGATTCTTGGTTCTTAGAGCCTAGGAGCTAAAACTCTGTTGTTCCATGACCCTAAACTTCCAAAACTCTTTCCATGCCAGTGGGGCACCACCTGCCTCCACCCTCTAAGAGGAAAGTCTCTCACGCCCATTGCCACCCCCGCTGCTGCCATACCCTCTCCTCTTGGGAGACTTCTTGGAGAGCATGCTGGAAGTTACATGCCACCGCTTCTCCAGAGTGATTTCATTTTTCCTGGGAATGCTCCAGGTTGAGGCTGGCCCAACACCCAGCTAGAATTCCCCAGCTTTCTCATTCTGGCCTCTCCCTGGGCATCTTCTCCCTCCACCCAGGTGCCAGCTTTCCACAGCTGGAGCTCCCTCTGTGTGACATGGGGGCCTCATCTCAGGGCCCAGCCATGCTCATCCCTTACCCTCTCTGTCCCGGGCCCACCTCCCCTACCTCCCTCCAACTCCCCTCCTCCCCTCCTTCCTTGTCCCTTTTCCTTTCCCAACAGTGAGGCAACTCTGCTGTGCAGGGTGGGGCCGGGGTCTAGTCACAGCTGGTGAGGCTGCAGCCAGGCCCTCGAGAATCCCCTGGTCTGAGGACAGAGCCAGGGCCTTGAAATGATTTTTAGAGTAAAAAGTGCATGGATATTTTACCACAATCTTTTGAAAAAGCAAATGGAGAAAAAGTCAGCCTACGCCTTATGCCCTATTTCTCTTCTCTTCTGCCTCTCTCCGTGACTCTGCCATCCCATCTCACTCGTTCTCATCTCTATGCCTGCAATAGTGAGTGGTGGGTTCTAATCCATTGAAGAAACCTTTCTGGACCAAGTGAGCAAACTGAGAATTTCTCATCCTCCAGCACAGCTAACGATCCTGACAGCTGCCCAGAACCTAGGTCTCCCACTTGCCCAACACCGCGTCCCGCTCTTCCCATGTTCTGTCTCGTTGGACCCTCACGGGATCGCATTCCATAGATAAGGATAGCGAGGCTCAGAGAGGTGAAGTTGCTCGCCCAGGGTTGCCCAGCTGGGAGGACCAGAGCCTGGAGGCAGGGCTCTCCCCACAGAAGCAAGGGGCTGAGGAAGAGCCCCCAGCTCTCACCTGCTCAGCCTTCTAGCTGCTTTAGGGGGCCTCTGAGAGGTACCTCCCCGGCCAGAGGCCCCTGGCATAGCCTTCTGATGGGCCCTCAGCTCAGATTGTGCCAGCCTGTTCCCCCTCCTGCGGGAGACAGTGTCACATATACAGCTCTGCCCGGCAGGGGAGGAGAGGACTATGCTGGCCGACGACCTTCCTCCCCATCAGATGGAGACCCCCACCTTAGGGAAGGAGTGGAGCTCACCTCTGCCCCATACCCCACCTCCCCACCCCCAGCTCTGGCTGCACTTGTCCCTCCCACCTCCCCCACCCCTGCTAACCCTCTTCTCCAAGGAGCTGAGACTCACCAAGCTGGCCAGGCCTGCCACTCTGTCTGCCCCGCCCCCACCCGAAGCCCACAGGGCCTCCAGCTTCCCCCTCTGGCCTCCTCTGCAGCCTGGCCGTGGCTGCCTGGCAGGTTTTCTTTCCTAGCTATGAAGCCCGGTCTTACTCTGAGTCTCAGGGGCCACCTGCGCCCTCGGACTCAGCCTCTCTTTTGATCTCCTGGCCCTGTCCACCCCATCTTGCCCTGGCAGACTAGAATGGGGACATTCCTGGGACTTGGGGACAGGTCCTCAGGAGGGAGATAGGTGGGACTAAAATGTGCCCTAGACACAGAGAGCAAGCAGTGTAGTGAGAGTGAGTGAGAGGTCATGAGACTGCAGGATGGCAACGGGGAGAGGGAACCCCAGCCGAGCTGACAGACAGGGAAACTGAGGCCCAGAGAGAGGCGTGAACAGGTGGGAGATCCCACAGCTAGTCAGGCTTCCTGACTGGGTCCCACACGCCTAGCTTGAATTTTCTAAGAAAAGGAAGCAAACCAGCTCATTAAGAAAAAGGCAGTTTTCATTGGAGTGCCTCACTAAATTCTGGGAGGAATTTATCTTGTGTTCCCTAAAGGAGGGCCATTGAGAACAGAGACGTTTGCAGAAGTGGCTCAAAGACTCGTAGGGTCTTAGGGCTGGAAGGGGTCTCAGAGGCCTCTGATCCAGACTCCACTCCCCACTCCCACGTCTCCCATTGGGGGGCCTCCTGCAGTTTCCAGCCCATCTCCCTGCTTGCACACCTCCACTGCAAGGAGCTCACCACTGCACCATCACAGAGCAGCCCTGACAGTGAAAAACTCCTGTATGGAGCTGAACTCTCTGGCCACTGCTCTCAGGGGTAGAGAGCCGGGCTAAGGGCAGAGCTGGCCCCGGCTCGCGGCCTGAGGGACAGAAAGCCAAGTCAGCCCTCCCAAGCTTCTCTCTCGTCAGCGCGCAGCCTGGGCTGGAGCGGTTTCCAGGCTGCATGGAGCCCTGCTCCTGCCCATCGGACGACTTTAACCCTGTCTGCGAGCCCAGCAGCCGTGTGGAGTACCTCACGCCCTGCCACGCGGGCTGCACAAGCCGGATGGTCCAGGAAGCTCTGGACAAAAGCCAGGTGGGTGAGGCCTCTGGCTTCCTCCTCTGCCTCTCACTTCTCTGCCCTTCCCTGTCTCAGTGCCTGTGTCTCTCACCCTCTCCACCTCTGAACGTTCTCACTGTCTGGCTCTGCTCTGTCTCCTTCTGTTGGCAGATGTAGAACATTATTCTTTCCATAAACTTTTGTTGCCAGCCAGGGCCCAGCCGCATGTGAAGGCCCAGGGCACAGAGGTGAACCAGATCTGGCCCCGCTGTCCATGCAGGGGAGATGCAGAAGGAAACAGCTCCAGAGGTCCACGGGTGGTGATAAGTGGGAGAAGTGGTCCCCACAAGTACAGACAAGGATGGAAGGAGATGCATCCCACCTGGGAGGGCCCCAAAAGGCTTCACAGGATGTGGTATTTGTGCTGGATCTTCAAGAGTGAATAGGCACATTGCGGGAGGGCCTTCCAGGCAGGGGGAAGGGCAGAAGCAGAGAATCCAGAAGCAAGCACCTGCACATGACACACACACACACACACAGTGTTTCAAGAAACTGCAAAGAACTTGTTGGAGAAGAAGCACAAGGGTTCATGGAGGGAAAGCAAGGCCTAGACAAGGAAGAGCCTTGAATGTCAGGCTGTGAGTGGGGACTTTATCTAGAGAGCAACGGGGAGTCTTGGATGGGTTATAGGCAGGGGAGTGACAGGGTCAGATCTGTGTTTAATCACACTTGAGGCCATAGTGTGGAGGAAGGTGAGCAAAGTGCAGGCAAGAGGCAGGGACACCAGTGAGGAGGTTGACGCGATGAGACCACTCAGTCAGTCAGTCAACAAACCTTCACAGAGCACCTCCTCTGTGCCAGGCCCTGTGCTGGGGGCTGAGGACCCAGATCCAAGGGACCTTGCCCTCAAGGAACTCCTAGAGGGGAAATGAGGGCAGCGTGACTAGCGGCAGTGCATTCTGTGTCAACCTTGGAAAGGCCACCGAGAACAGCTAGTTCCTCCTCCACTGTCTCCTCAGTACCCCCAAATGACAAATGGGGACAGTACCCGCCTTCCTCAGGCTCCTAGGTTGTAGTAAAGCATGTGAGGTGGGGGTGTGGTGTCAGGCTGGTTGTTATGACAGCACCTGCCTCTCTCCAGAGTCCCCTGCTGCCATGGAATTAGATGCACGTGAATGAAGGGCTGGGAAAACCCCCGAGAAAGGCCTCTGGCTTTCATGTCCATCCCAGCGAGCTCGTGCCCTCAGGAAAGCAACAGGAGCAGCAGGTTTCTCTTCCAGGAAGCTGGCCTCGCAGACAGGACTTCTCCCCCAATCTGTCCCTCCTCAGTATCTCCACCCCAGCGGGTTGCACAGCCTGCAGGTGAGGGTCCAGGTGGTGTGTGCTCAGGGGGTCACACACAGGTGGCAGCACCACCTTGTCAGGCACAGGCACTGCGCACACACGACAGAGCTCAGGGCAATGGAAAGAGCGCCTGGTCACCCGAGCCCCTCACGCTGTCAGCTCTCTCTCTCCGTGCTGCCAATCTTTCCAAGGCTCCCGGCATCCCCCTCAGGGCTTCCCAACCCTTGTCACATTGGAAAGCTTCCGAGGCTGCCAGGCAGGGCTGGAGGTGAGAGTTCCAGAACATTCCAGCTGCTCCAGGGCTGCCAGGCCACCTCGAGGGCTGATGGGACCCATCCCTGCACACCTGTCTCTCAGCCGAGGTGGGGTCCCTGGGGCACACTGGTCAGGGAGACTCTCCTCTACAGAGAAGAAAAGCAAAGCCTGGGCTTCCTGGCCTGGCTTTGTTCCTGCAGGCGCCCGAGGGCACTGACTTCTGGAGCACCTCTGAAAGAACCCTCTGCAGGAGGTTTTCCAGGTCACTTAGGGGATGGCAATGCGGCAATCAAACACACTCCGGGGCCAGCCGGGGGGCATTTCCCTGCAGTTTGGAAACAGCTCAGCTTTTACTCAGACTTCCGCCTTTGGAGGGGCCCCAGTTTTCTGGGGTCTCCTGTTAGACTTTTCACCAGGCAGAAGGGAGGGCTAGGACTTGTCCGCTGGCCCTGTAGCCTCTGAACCTCTGAAAGCTGTACTCCATTGTGCGAGTTTCTGTGAACACCCAGGGCCAAAGCTTGCTCCAGACCCTGCTCTCCACCCTCCGTTCCACCTCGCTTAGTACTGAAGCTGAGTACTTTTTACTTTCTGCCAACACGTGGGTGCATTCAGAACAGTTTTCAGTACTTTATCCAGCATTTTAAGTTGTTGTCAGCAAGATGATTGGCAGGGCGCCTGGTCCACCGAGTTTCTGGAAACAGCAGTCCAGGTTCTTCTTTCGTGCCCAAGGCTCTTCACGATGTTGCCCCCGCGTACGCCTAAAGTGCCTCCCTCTGCCCCTCGCGAGTGCACTCTCTGCCCCGGGCAGGAGGAAGGGTTTGCTGGGTTCTTTCATGCCACTGTGGTTTTACATTTGACGCTCCCTCTGCTCATTCCAGTTTTCCTCTTGGCAAACTCCTATTCATTCCTCAAGACCCAAATCCAACACCCCTCTCTGGTGAAGCCTTCCTTGCCCCTCACCTGCCGAATCAGGTCTCCTCTAGTGCTGTCTGCATCTCTCCATCCTGTGCTTGAATCTCTCCTTGAGAGTCCCTTCTAGAATCCAATGCCCTGAAAGACTGCAGGGAAGTGGAAGGCAAGGACACTAGGCTGGAGAATCCAGTTCCTTCCCCAAAACACTCTTTGTTGCTTTGATTCCTTGCACAGACGTTCAGGAATTCGGAGCACTCTGACATCACCATGTGAAAGAACGAGTGAGTGTGTGGTGTGTGAGTGTGTGGTATGTATGAGCATGTGTGTGGATGTGTGGTGTGTGTGAGTGTGTTGGTTGTGTGTGCGAGTGCATATATATGTGAGTGTGCGTATATGTGAGTGTGCGGTGTGTGTGGGTGTGTATGTGTGTGTGAGCATGTGTGCATGTGGTGCATTATAGGGGTCATGCTCTTCTAGGCTCCTCTCCTTTTTCCCCACTTCCCTCTCTCCGCACAGCCTCGACCTGGGCTCAGCCCATTTGTGTGCAAACAGCCTGTGTCCAGGTACCCGCCTGGCTGTTCGAGCCGTCGGGCGAGCCAGCATGCAGCCAGCTCTGCCCAGCTGCTTTGAGCCCTTGGGTGTCTCACAAGCCTTCCTCCTGGAGCCTCAGGCCCTTGGCCAGCTGCTTGCCTTTGGAGGTTCCTGAAGGCTCTTCTCCTTGCCCACCCCCCAGGTTTTCTACACCAACTGCAGCTGCGTGGCAGGGGGCAGCCCTGTGCTGGCGGGCTCCTGCGACTCAGCCTGCAGCCACCTGGTGCTGCCCTTCATGATCCTGGTCGGCCTGGGTGCAACACTGGCCAGTGTCACCCACACACCCTCCTTCATGCTCATCCTAAGGTGAAAGCAGAGGCGGGCCAGAACTGGTGGATACCAAGAGGTCCTTAACCCCAGGCAGGACAAGGAATCCTGAGGGAGGAGTTCAAAGAAGGAGGCCACTCGGGTGTCCTGGGCCCCCACAACAGACCATGCTCTCCCTGTCCTGTCTTCATGGCAACCTGCTGAGATGAAGTTTTCTCCCCATCTTGCAGATAAGAGAAGTTTTCTTGTAGATAAGAGAAGTTTTCTCCCCATCTTGCAGAGAAATTCAGGAGCTGACCCCAGGTCACACAGCAAATGTTGGGTGGAACAGTACTGACCGAGAGCCCATGACCCGACCTGCCCCAGGGGAGGGGAGGCCACTCCTAAGGCCCTTCCCTGGCCTTGCAATCACTGTGAGGAGTGTCACCTGACTCCCCGCCCCCGCCCCACCTGCAGTGGGCGGGCCACAGCAGGTGCGCCCAGAAACCCAAATCCTCTCAGTGTGGCCCATGATTCCGAATGCCACTTCAAGCACTTATTAAGTGCCAACTGTGGACCCAGCCCGTGCTGAGCACTGCCTCCTGGTCCAAGATCTTTCTGGCCATTGTCCTGAGGTGCCTGCTGGGACTGATAATTGTCACCTGAGGCCAAAGTCAGCATCTCTTGGGGTGGTGGCTTGAATAAAGAGACCTCAGAGCAGAATCATTCCAATATTTTATTACACCGGGATTATTTTATTGCCTATTTTCCAGAAAATTAGAAGAGGGGTGGAGCCCCTCACAAATATTAGAAGACACGTAGATCTGTAAGACAGGCCGGCCACAAGAGGGAAAGCAGAGGAATCAGATCCCCAGCGGGCAGCCTGATGAGGAGGCCTCGCGCAGGCCGTGTGCCGCGCGAATTCTGGCTCTTGATGCCCGGTGGCCTGGGACCTTAGCCGAGGCACCTAACCTGTCTCGGCGTCCGTCAGTCTCACCTGCAGAATGGGGCTAAGGACATGCCTGCCTCATGGGGTGAGGTGGGGCTTGTAGTGCAGAAGGACAGAGCCCGCAGTAAGCGCTCCATGAGGGCTGGGTGCTGGTGTTCCCCAGGACGGGGAGCAGGGCGCCCCAGGCTGCGGCAGCACAGTGCTTGGGGAAGTTAGAAGGAGCATCTGGCTGCTCACCTTCAGGTTGTGCCAAATATAGGAGGAAGGGAGAGAGGGGAGGGGTCTGTGACCAGGAGCACAGGGAAGCCAGCATGGGACCCTGATGGGCAGTGGGTGCACCTGGTGCATGGGGACCAGGCTCTGCAGGGTGAAGGGAAATGGGGTGTGGGGCCTGAGCTCCCCGCCCCCAAGGACCTGCAGACTCAGGGAAGAGGAGGGGAGGACCAGAGCCCCTGGGGGGCTGGAACCCTCTCAGTCCTCATGTCACTCGTGTCCCTGCTTTAGGGGAGTGAAGAAAGAAGACAAGACTTTGGCTGTGGGGATCCAGTTCATGCTCCAGAGAGTTTTGGGTAAAGAACCTGTTTGGGACCGCTGGTCCAGATAGCCACTGTGTGCTGGGCCCAGGGGGGCACAGGGGTGTGTGGGTCCCAGTTCCTTACCTTAGGGTTCACAGGTCCCTGTGGCAACAGATCCAACCTAGGTGCCCTGGGGGTGGGTGTGAAGAGGCTGAACAGCCCGGCAGGGAGGCCACAGCTGCCCCCAGGGAAAGGGTGGCCTTGGGAGCCAAAGACTTACAGACCAAGAGGCCCCAATTGCTAAGGGGTTGTGTAAGGCAGGGAGTAAAGTGGGGACGGGCGCGGGAATGCCAGGCGCCGTTGTCCCCTGAGCACCTCCTCCTCCAGCCTGGATGCCCAGCCCTGTGATCCACGGCACTGCCATTGACACCACCTGTGTGCACTGGGCCCAGAGCTGCGGGCGTCGGGCCGTCTGCCGCTACTATGACAACGACCTGCTCCGAAACCGGTGAGACCTGGGGTGGGGGCCGCCAGGGGGGTGTGGGAAGGGTGCTAGAAATACCCTCGGGGTCCTGGGAGGGAATGGGGGGGGGCCGGGGGGGCAGATCCATTTACATCCACTGACAGGTGACAGGTGCCATATCCTGTCCTGAACTCACCAGGCCTGTGAGCAAGATACCGTCTCCCCCTTTTAGGGGTGAGGAACGTGAGAGAGAAAGAGAGAGGCCCAAGGTCACAGAGCTGGTGCCTGGCAAAGCTGGGCCTTGAACCCAAGCTGTCTGACTGCAGCCTTTGCAGGAACACGTGTCTCCACAGCTGAGCGTGGGGGGATTCGGGAGCAGCCCAACTGTGAGAGAGACGGGGAGGCGAGGTGGAGTGGGGAAGAGGCCCTGTCTAGGACACAGGAGGCCTGGGCTCCTGGCCCAGCTCTGCCTCCCTCGTCATGAGAGCTGCCTGTTCTGGGACTCAATCCTCCCTTGTGTACAATAGGGAGCCCCAAAGAATTTGGAGGCAGAGAGGCTGCTGGCCTGGACGGATGGGGAGGCTGGGAGGGACTTGCTGGCAGGGCTGGGAGCAGGAGCTGATCACTTCCAGCTCTGAGGAGGGCGTGGTCCCTGTGGGCTGGGACCCCCCGGGGGGCTTCCTGGAAGAGGAAAAGTCAAACAAGAGCTTTGGTGAGTCAGACAAAAGGAGAGAGGGAATCCTCTTTTCTTCGTGGTGGGTGGGGCGATCCATAGTTGCCATGGTCAGGCCCCCTGAGTCCTTAGCAAGACCTGGAGAGAGGCAGGGCTGGCCCAGGCCACAGGCAGTCAGGGACAGGGTGGGGAGCATGCCCAGGCTTCTGTGTCCACCCCCCACCCCACCACCAGGGCTCCTTCTGCAGAGGCTCTCCCCCTCTTCCAGGGATGTGGCCCCATGTGGGTCAACTCCAGGGGTTCCCCCATCTCCCCAGCCGAGGCCATGGTGACAGGGTACACTGCCCTGGGGCTGGAGGCCTCTCCTCCCCCCAAGAACTCAGTGTCTTGGACTGCACGAGTGATGATCGCTGACGCCTGAGCCCTGGATGGGGAGCTCCTGAGTTCAAGGGTCCCGTGTTCTTTCCCAGGTTTATCGGCCTCCAGTTCTTCTTCAAGACGAGCTCCCTGGCCTGCTTCGCCTTGATTTTGGCCATCCTAAGGCAGCAGAACAAAGAGGAGGGGACTAAGGCGACGGTATCCAGCCCTGGCCTACAGCAGCAGCTGTTAGCATCAGGGCGAGAGAAGAAGCCTGAAGAATCGAGAGTGTGAGCTGTCCCAGGGCCCCACCCTAGGCAAGAGTGATGGCCACAGCGAGGATCTCCTCTGGTCCCTTTGCCCGAGATTGGGTGTTGGGAGCCCTGTTTCCCAATTTTGACTCCTCCACTAACTTGCTGTGTGACTTCGGGCAAGTCACTGACCCTCTCTGGGCCTTTGCTCATCTGAACCAAGGAGTTCCTTGGGGTCTGCTGTGTTGGCTACTTCTAAAGCAAGAGGGTCTTCCCCCTTCCTTCCTCAGCCAGACGGGCTGACCCGAAACCAGGCTTTCCTGGGTGGAAGGACCACGTATCTTTCTCCCGGGCCCAGGGATAGAGAAGTGGACAAGAGTAGGCCACACTGCCCTGCACACAGGATCCTATCCCGGCTCTGCCGTTCTCCTGGAGCACCCTCTCTGAGCCTCAGCCACCATCTCTGTTAGGGGGAAGTGGACTTGCCAGCATTGCGGCCCCTTCCAGCTGTGACCATCTGTGTGGTCGGGATGGACTCAGGCCTCGTCCCAGCCCCGCTCAGCCTGGAGGTGGGGCCAGGACAGCCTCTGTCAAGAAGTGTCCATTTGGCGCCCCCTGGAGGCAGAGTCCTGAGCTCTGAGGGAGGAGGAAAGGGAGGTGGCGTCACTCTCAGGACATCCAGGCTGGGCAGGGCCTTCGGGAAAGCTGGTGTGACAGCCCAAGGGCCTTAGCTGAGGCAGGAGGCTCACTCTCTGGGCTCAGGAAGTCCAGCCCTTGCCCTCGGGGAGCCACGGTCTGGGAGAGGCCTAGTGTCTGCCGTAGGGGCTCTGGTGGGGAGGAAGACCCAGGTCCCACACTTAGACACCGTCTAACCCCAAAGACCAAACACGCTCAGCACACACTCCCTGGGACCTGTGCATCGCCACGATTTCACACGTTTGACCAGGGCCCACCAAACTCACTGTGACTTTCGGGACTAAAATTATAATTTCACCATTTGCTCTTAAAGTGCCTGAAATTTTGTCACCTGGGGCTATGTAGATAATCTAGCTCCTTGACACTCAAGTTTTGGAGGTAACATCTGGTTCTCCGTGATGCCTGGGTTGGTCTAAGGACCTGTTCTTTGTAATGCCCGGGCCTGTTACACTGGGAGCAGTAACGCCTGGCTCTGTGGAATGAGTGGGTCTGTGGGACGCTTGGATCTGAACAAACCGGTCCTTGTCTACATCAGGCCTTGTCTTGTTTTGTGGCCAGTCTTATCTGGCTTGGTTGTCTCCCTGGGATGGGGAGAGAGTTTCCTGATCTGCTCCCAGCCCATTCTGCTGCCACCACATACCCCACCTGGCTGGGACCTGCTGCTCAGGAGGCAGGAGATGGAGCCAACAGTAGTGGTTTCCCAAGCCCTGTGTCCAGCCCTGTGCTGGGGGCCAGGGGAGAAGCTGGGGGGGTGGGGGGGGCACACGCGGCTCTGGCCCTCTGAGCAGCTCCCAAGGGCAGGGCTTTGAGGCCAGCCCACATGAAAGAAGCGGGTACAGAAGTTCTAACTCCCATTTTTATTCCACTGGCTGATACCTTTAAACATTTAACAACTATCTGAGCCTGTATTGGTCAATGCCAAGAATTTCAAAGTGTCCTGCAACAAGATGATGCTGTTCACATGTTTATATTCCTTCTCCTTCCATTCGTATGTTTATATTCCTTCTCCTTCCCTCCTGTTTCCCAGGTTGTGCAGAAATAATCTGGAATTATAGATACAGCTTATTATTAAATTTGTTCTTGCATAATGTCTCTTCTATTACAAAAATCCTTTCTTACAAACTGCATTAGAGTTTGCGACAACCGCATTATTTCCAGTTATTGAGATTTAAGTTTTACTGGATTCGTTGCTCACCATTATTTCTTGTATATTACATCTTTCCCTATCTGTATATTCTGGTCTAATTTTCATTTGGCTGGGCTACTTCCTCTAGTAATGGTTTCAGAAATGGAATAAGGTCACAAGGCTTTCTGAGTCCTCACCTGTCCAAACTGTCATGTATGTTTCATAGAAGACAAAACAGTTCAGAACGGATAAGCAACTTGCCCAAGATCACACAGAAAATAAAGGGTAGAGCCAGGGTGAGAGCCAGATTTTGTGGGAACTGAAGCTTATACAATTTGGGGAGGCCTCTTTAAGGAAAAGACCTCAAAATTAGGTAAGGAAGTAAATATTTACGCATAATGAGAAGTCGAAACAAATACACCACACAATTCAGAAAAACAACATAATATTTTTTACCAACTGCTGCGCATGCCTCTAAAATGTTTTTCCCCTGATGATCGGAAGTATTTTCCTCAGACTAGCTTCTGGTTCTGTACATTTCAGATCTGTTTCTGCTGTTTCTCCTCTGTTGCCTATTCACTTGCAGGACCAGGCAGCATAAAACACATTCATGTCACGAGGTGCCCTCTGGATGTGACAGCTTGATGTCACAATGCCGAAGAAGTTGGACAGTGAGTAGGAAGATTTCTACCAGTCATTCTCTACACAGAGGTGGCCAGCAATGATTTATCTATACTCAGAGGTGACTCAGAACCGCATAAATATGTCCCACTGAACCCAAAGCAAATTGATCCCGAACTCAACTTCCCCATAGCCGGATCCCAGAAATACCCATGGCGCCTCCAACCACCTCACATAAACGGAAACTGGGACACAAGGGAAGTTGGAGTAGAAAGAACTAGCAATCTTAACTGATTGTGGATAAAACATCTTACCTTCGCAAATTTCCCAAGAACATGAAGAGATGAACACACTGCAGAGGCCCCTCCCTGGGCCTGAGGAGAGGCCCTGATGCTCAGGCAGCTTTAGCTTCATGCTGAGTCTGCCTCTGCATTGAGCTGAGATTTGAAGAGAAGATCAGATTCTTGTGCTTAAAACCTCCCAGGCTGGTCAGGGCCAGGAGATTCCAGGAGTCATCACAAGGGATTAATGAGGTTGAGAGCCAGGGGCAGAGCAGGTAAGGGCCAGAGGGGTTCCCAGGGACTGAGGGGGTCCCGGGAGCGGCCCTCTTCCCTAACATGGCATCTGGCCAATGAGGAGCCGCGAGCTATTGCATCTGTGAGCTTACCATCTTCTCATCCTGTACCCGCTGTACCCTGGAGCGGGGAGGAGAAGGCGTCGGGTCTCCCTGCTGGATTCTACCGGTGGTAAAACCCAGCAGAGTACAAGACTGGGACCAGAATGGACATCCCGATGCCTGGCCCGGAGTTCTTTTGGCCTGTAGACTCAGGCAGATGCCCCTGAGGAGACGGGAGCCAGGAGCCATGACTGGGGCACAAATAAATGAACCCACGGCACCCTCACTGTTCTTAGGATGTGTTGAATCCTTTCCCCCACCAGGCCCCTGTGTGTTCACTTCCCTCTATCCAGCTAGCCTTCTTCATCCCCAGCTCACTGCTTGCCCCTCCATCCCACATCCTGAAGTCCTACCTAGTCTTCCAGACCCAGCTCAAAGGCCACCACGTCTAGGGAGGCAGCATGGTTTAGGCAATGGGAGTGGAGGACAACTACCTCAGGGAATCTGACAAAATATACAAATTCTCCGTAAAAGATGCACACCTACATACACACAATTGTGCACCTGTTTTCTAAGGTTGGGGACCGTCTGAAGCCTGGCTGTAGACCTCCAGTGGAGTGGAGTGAAAAGAACAGAGTTTTAGAGTCAGGCAGATTTGGGTTCAAATCTTGACTCTGTCACCTTACAGCGTGACCCTGGACAAGTGATTTTACTTCTCTGAGATCTGTTTCTTCATCTGTCTCCCAAAAGTTGTGAAGATCGAATAATAACATACTCTCTCACAGGCAGTGCACCTGACGATCAGTGTCTGTAAGCGCCCTTCCCTTGCCCTGGCCCTGAAAGGAGCACAGAGAGCATGTGGACCGGGCGGCGGTGGAGGCAGAGGGAGGAGGCACCACTGAGGGCAGACCCACTCTTTGCCCTGCCCCGGCTGCAGCTCCTCTCGCCCCTAATCTCTCTTCCACTGTCAGCCAGGGCTCAGTCAGGCCAGTCTTATCTCTCCCCACAGCCAGCCTGGGACAGCTTTTCTCAACCAGATTTACATTTTTATTGATTTTCTTTCTCCCTTCCAGAGCAGTCCCCTCCTTCTGCTTCCCCTTTTGCTATAAAATGGGCTTACCCTGGGAAATAGCAGTTCTGGGGCTGGCTAAGAAGTGATGGTTCGAGGATGGATTCATTCACCATTCATTCATTGATTCATTCATCAACCTCCCAACCAACCAACAAATCCTACATGGCTGCCCTATGCCCCTGTGCTGGTGCTGCTGGGGACAGAGCCAAGTATCAGACTAAGGAAGCTCCCGGTGTAAGCAGACAAGCTGACAGACAGCAACTAAAGATGAGCAGTCATACAGGAGAGAGAAGAAGAGAAAGCCACGGACTCATCCTGGGGCCACCAGGGGAAGGCTTTCCATAAGAGGTTAAATCAGAGCTGGCCTTAAAGATTAGGCAGGAAGTTCCCAGGTGGAGAACACGGGAATGGGCCCAAGAAACAATGGGGTGAGCAAAGATTGGAAGGCATGAGAAAGCGAGGTGTACAAGATATGGGACAAGAGCAATGTGGCTGGGGTGTATCACATGTGCAGAGTGATCAGGAGAGAGAGAAGAGCTGAGGCTGGAGACACCAGTGGGGACAATGCCTTGAGTTCCAGCTGAAGACTTTGGATGTCTTCCTGAGGGCAAGGAGGAGCCCTTGAAGCATTGATTGATGGATTATTCTATTGACCAGTTATTTTAAGCAGGGAGTGACATGACAAGATTTGTGCTTTAGAAAGGCTGCTGGCTGCACCTTGGGGGTTTTGAGTGGAAAAGGGAAGCTGGAGGCCAAGAGATCAGACAGTAGGCTGTGCACTAATCAAGAGAAGTAGGAGGCCTTGAACCAGCTTAAGAGAGGCATCCTAGAAGTGGAGACATCTAAGCTGAGTCTTGAAAGATGAGTAGGAACACACCAGGTGGAGGAGCTGGGAAGCATGTCCAGGGAGAAGAAACTGCACAGATAAAGGCTCAGCACACAGAAAGTTCCTGGCAGGCTTGGGGAATTTCCACTAGTCCAGCAGGCCTGCAGTGTGGCCTGAGAGAGTCGCGGTGAGGGATGAGGCTGAAGAAGTGGTCGGGACCCCGATTTCTCTCAGTATTCTGTCTCCTGGACCCACACTCAGGTGGGAGAGGAGAGGAAGCATGGCTTCTTGTACAGAGGTGGCTGTGTGCGGCTGCCTCCGCCACAGACTGCGAGAGTCCTGGGTCAGGGGCCCTCCTTACTCAAAGCAAATCTTTCCACGATCATGCACTTTACCTTTCACGAAGTCCCTTCACACCCAATCTTCATGGTCTCCAGATGAGGAGTGTGCAATAGGGATTATTATCCCCATGTGGTAGATAAAGAAACTGAGGCCTAGAAAAGTACAGGAATTGGTCCAAGGTCACTCAAGAGCCCAGGTATCCCCCTCTGAAAACTTCATTGTTTTTTCTAATAAGTCTACCTGTCCCTGAACCACATATACACAATAGATGTAGTAGCTGCTAACTAATGTGATTGGAATGAAAAAAGGGAGAGAAAACACATTAGAGAAAGAGGCTGCCTCCTCCTGTTTCCGAGTCCTCAGCCTTCACCCCAGAGCTGGAGACACTCCAGCTAAGAAAACAGAACCAGGCTCCCTCTGCTTTGAAATCCAACAGACATGAGGGCATATCCCAGCTCTGCCACTTTGCAGATGTGGGAAGTCACTGCACTCATCTCAGCCTTGGTTTTCTCATCTGAAAAAATTGGAGAAACAAACTCCACCTTTCAGGGTTGTTGTGAGGATGTAATGTGATAACAGAGCACCGCAGCAGTTAACTATTACTGAGTAACAAATCACTCCAAAACTTAGCAGTGTAAGACAGCAAATACTTATTATCTCACACAATTTACGAGGACCAAGAACACAGAAGTAG